GCTATGCTTACTCTTAACTATAAGATGTTTAGATGTAGATGGACATTTATTGATTTGGCTACTTCTCTTATGCTCAAGACTATATGTCTGACTGTATGTCGATGCGCGTGTCTGTGTATGTATCTGTTAACTTCTGTACGCAATACCGGTTATAACTCAGAGTATGAATTGTTCTAACCCTATTTCGTTCAAAGTGATGAAAGACTGGTAGTTGAATTTTCCCACAATGATATGAGTAGAGCTGATGTTTTCCATTGAATTTTACATAGCCTTGCTTTCTTAGAAGGTGTTCTCATACAGGGTTGACTGCAGTTTCGACCTCGCATGGGTCTTATTTAGTGGTAGTCTCGAAAACCTACTCACTCACGAAATAACTCAGAGTAAGTTGACAAAAGCCTACCTGTCCTAGATCAGTAAGGCCTAGTGCTTCAAAGAAAAGCATGGCTAAAATTTCGTAATCTCTTTAGTATATTTTGGTTGATGAGCTTAACATGTCTGTTGAACTAGTGTGGTTAGGTAGAAACATCATTCGGCTGAAAAGTTTAGTCGCTTTCTTTAATCTTTCATTTAAGCCTAAGTAATTCTCATATTCAACATATTCCCTAATCCATTAATTTTAATACTCTGTCTTATCTTGTGTTTCGTAGCAGACAACATAATCAGCAAACCTCTGCGTCTGAGACCATTCTATCTCATGCCCAGTCTCCGCCTTTACGAGCATCTTTGTGCTCTGCTAATCTTTGACGGCTAGGCCGACAGGTCTCAACAACGTAAGGTTTACCACAGGAGCACATATTGATGACAGCCGTATATTGACAGTATGTCATATCTCTCCTTAAAAGAGAGCATAACCAATGGAAGTATTAGGATTTTAAAAATTTGTTGTGCGTTTTTCATATATTGTTTGGCTTATGCATTAATAGCTTGGAAGGCAAATAAAGGCAACAATTCAGTTGCTTATGCGATTTCCCTTATCTTTCGCTTATGATTTACTCTCAGTAAACTACTTTTCTTACTATGTCACTGCGAGCGGAGGTTAATGTTAGAGCTTAAACGTTTTCATCTATAGAATCAACATGACCCATACTTCTTGATTCATTGCCTGTTTTTTGCTTATTTTATATGCAAACCTGCGTTTATACCCAGATATTTAAGTCGAAATCATGACTTAAGCTTTGATATTTGTTCGGAACAGCGTTAATTAAGAATCTAGTACATACGTAAGACACAATTCTAAGTGCTTCTTTAGCACAATCATCGTTAAAAAGGACAGACATATGGCTTGCTTTGAGGCAACCCTAGGTTCCGTATAGTCACCTCTGTCAAAGTATCTTCTAAATTTCTTCTAGAGAACTTGTCCAGTCCGAGGTTCTTTTTTGACGATATCAAACTTGCATAAGGAGTTGGTTGTGACATCGTATTTTTGGCTCTCAGAGCTAGATTTTATCTGACCTTTTTCTGTGGTTCTTTTTGATTTATTCTTTTTATTGAATCTAAAATATTCATTATGAATATGTACTCGGCTTCGCGCTACCGTACAGGACACTCCAGCCTTGTATAAAGGAACAATAAAATGAGTCATTTAATGATTTGTATGGAACAAGAAAAGTTGCAGGCCTGCAACTTTAATGTGAGAAAGTGCAGCCAATAGCGAAGTGTGATGTTGGTGCAAAATGGCATTGTTCGGTCACCAAAGGTCACAGAGGTTAACGACGGTACCAGGGCAACAACGGGGCAGCGTGTGTAAATCTAGGACATTTCTGACTTAAAATATTATTGTGTACTCTTAGGGCCACGTTCTGATTGGTTCAACAGAGAGTCTCGATGCACAGTGTCGATGAGTTATGCTTCACTTGTTGTTGCATAGGTTGAGAAATAACCGCGAGACGAGAGATGTCGCCAAGCTGATTGTGGAGTAAAAGTAACTGTAATATTCCTCTCCAGATGCTAATCCTAACGAGATAGACCCGAAGAAGAAAAAGTAAATACACCGCTAAGAACCCACAGCTAAGAGTGCTTTATCATTGATCTGTTGGTATAAGTTTTAAAGAGTAGAAATTAAGAGGCTGAGGAGCTCCGTCAGCAACCTGTTAGAATGCACCACCCACGGCCGGTCGGAGGCTTTGATCACGAAGTGAAGATCAGCATCAGAATCTGGATGCGCCAATACTGTCGATTTGGCGAAGTTTGACTTAGTGTGTTCAAATACGCGATGCGCATCTTCAAACGGATATATCCTTTTTTGAATTTTTGGATACTCCTCCAAAGGATTCAACATGTCTGCACAGTTCGGAATGAAGCCAAGGTAAACATTTATCGTGCCGAGAAAAGTTC